TCTTGGTTTTGTAGTTGGTGAAGGACAGGCGGGCATTACGAATGCTTTTCCCAGCTTCTGCCGCATCTACCAGTACTGCTGCTCTCCTGTTTTTGAGGTCATCCTTGATGGCTTCTCTGCACTGCTTTGCCAGTTCGGATGTTCGCTGGTGGTTGCCTGAGGCATGCGCCAAGCCACGTTGGCGAATAAGTTCAAGAGTGTTCAAAGAAAGGCGGTTTTTTGTGGTTATCTCTCTCTTGGCATTCTTCGCACAATCATGGAGGTGCTGAATCATTCGATCATATTCCTCATCAATGTTGTCAATGACGGCATCTTCCCATGTTGCTGCAACAGAGCCAAAGAGCTCCCAGTTGGTGGTCGTTCTGGGAGTCCTCTTCTTAAACCTTGCATTCTTTTCTCCTCGTTCTGTGAGGTAGAATTTTGCATGAAGAAGACGGTGGTCTGATCCCGTTTGGAATTTTGGGACAACAGCAACATCGGTTAGGCAAAACCGCTGATTGAATATGATGTGGTCTATTTCATTGTGGAACCGTCCATCGGGAGATTCCCATGTCCAACGTTTAGATTCAGCCTTTTGGAACTGTGAGTTACCATGGAAGGTTTTGGTTGACATGATGAACTCAGACAGTCTGTCACCCTGTTCATTCCATTCCAGGCCATGGGTCCCGATGTGGAGTTCATCGACTGATCTTCTTGGTCCTATCTTGGCATTAAAATCACCGACAATGATCTTGTAGAAGGTGTGATCTTCTTTATAGAACTTCTCCAGCTCCATGTAGAACTTCTCAGTTTCTCTTTCACCATAACTGGATGTTGGTGCATAGACAACAAAGATAGAAACTGCCGGTAGTGAGCCACATTTATTCAAGTGTAATCGTCCGATTCGGGTTGTTAGGCATTCAAATGAATCAATGGTCCTGGCTAAGTTTGTGTTGACAAGGATACTGACACCACCGACGCCTCTTTTATCACATGTTCCAAGGAACAGTTCTTCTCCAGTGTCGAAAATGGCATGATGTGATTGATGTCTTCTCGTTTCGGTCAGACCAATGATGTCGTACTTGATCTTTCGCACTTGTACCATAAGGTCTTCAATGGATGCAGTAGATGCCAGCGTATAAGCATTAAAAGTACAGAGAATCATTTTTGTTTTTCTGCGTTTTGGCAGCCTATTTCTGCCTTGGTATTTTATCAGCCTCTCCTTCCATATACGGACGTATATCTAAAAAGAAAACCCAGGGATGGAGGTTCTCGGAGGAAATTGAGATGTATAGAGGAGGAAGGTGCTTATAATTTTCTGAGCATCAGTTATACAGCTGAATTACAGGGAAGTGAGTAACTATTACTGATCTCTAGCATACTTAAATATATTATTATTAACTACTATTATTGTTGTTGTTTGGTTTTGTGCCCATACCCTGTTGTGTCCAGGGCTCTTCCTGGCTCTCTGCTCAGAGGTGATCCCTGCTGGTACTTGGGAATCATATGTGGTTGTTGGGGTTTCAAACCCAAATCAGGTTTGAATGCAAGGCACGTCCCTCATCTTCTATATTCTCCCTCCAGTCCCCATACTTACATATTTTAGGGCTGTATTTACAGCTTTATTTTCTCTCACAAGTATCATCAATAACTGGCTACTGCATCCTGCCCATGAAAAGGCCTCCTATTAATCATCTGCCCCATAGGTAGAGGGAGGAAGTGGGATGAGAGTATACTGCGGTTTTTGGTGGTGAAAAATGGACACTGGTGAAGGGACAGGTGTTTCATTATATGACTGAGACTTAAACTCGAAAGCTTGTAACTGCTCTCATGATGATTTAATAAATAAAATTCTAAAAAAGGGGGAAAAAGTAAGGTGGAGTTCATGCCCAATTCAATCAGCCTAATCAATGGCTGAATAAATAGCAATACTCCTACATTAAAAAAGGCTCCTACCTACTTTCTAGAGGATCACTTGGAATAACTCCTTCCTCCTTCCCCCATAGGAACCATCCCTACTTTCCTTTGCTTTCGAGTTTCATTACTAAAAGCATAAAATGAAATTACAGAAAATTTTATGCAATTTCTAGTTATTTTCAGTGTTTTCTCTCTTCACCATTAAGAGAGGCAGAACTAACTTCTACTCACTTAGGAAGGGTACTTTCTCCTTTATTTGAAATGATCTGCAGCTAGATTATCAAATGATTACTCTTCTACGCTCTAATTTGGCATTTCTTAAATTTATTCAAATAAAGTGTGGGTCTACTTGGATATTATAGTTTTTAACAATATTGTTTTATTAAGAATTACCTCATACTCTCTCTAATAATTTATTTAGTTGAAAAAGTTAGATAAGCCTGACAAAAAGACACTACAAGATTGTCATCTGCCTTAATTGATCATTTTCTTACTGAGTCTTATGATACGAAATTTTCCAGACTATGTGCTTTAAAATAATCCATCAGAGGGACTGGAGAGATAGAACAGCAGATAGGGCACTTGTCTTGAATTTGGCTGGTTCAGGTTTGATCCCTGGCACCCCATGTGGTCCTCCAACCCCAGGAGTCATTCTGAGCTCAGACTCAGGTGTTAGCCCTGAGCACTGCCAGCTGGGTGATAGGTGGAAAAAAATTATGATTTTGTTACATTTTTCTTACTCAAATAAAATGTATATGCAATTATATTCACATTGGCATATTTATAACACCAAAAAGTAAAAATCACTGATGTTATAATGTCAATGTGAATATTGATACATGGTGGCTTATTAAAAAAATTATCATAGTGGCACTAAAGAATAATCACATTTTTGATGAATATTCAGTGAAACAAAATAATGCTCACCATGTACTAAATGAACAATCTTGATGACAACCTTTTTATAAAGCACAATCAATTTTTTAAAACATTAATATAAATGTGATCAAATTCTCCAGATTGTCTCAATTTTAATTTTCTATATTGGGAGACCCACCAATGGGTCTAGTGATTTTCTGCCAGCAATATTGGGGATCAACAGAGCTACATCCTGTGCTTATGGGCCTCAGAAGCGTGTATTCCACCCCTTTGGACTATCTCCCTCATTTGTAAATCTTATCCAAAGAAAGTATTTTTTAAAATGCATTAAAAAATTATGTTCATTATATAGTATTATTTTTTAAAATAAGAGACAGTTTAGAAATTGGTACATTTAATGTGAAGTGGTGTTTAGTGGAAAAACTACATAATCACTCAATGCTACAGTCATTAATTTATGCATTTATTTATTGTTCCAAGGATCGAACCCGGGACTCTGTGCATGCCCTCTACCACTCTATTATATCCCTAGACTACAAAGTTATATTTTAAATTCAAATTTAATGAAGTTAGAAAATATTCATGTTAAATGGCATAACAGTTATCTTTACATATTATAGTTCCATTTTTTGAAAAAAGGAATCAAATCTATTTAAAGCTTTGTAATAAGAAATTAAAAGTCTTTCAAGTATAGAGCCAATAATTTAAGTAGAAGGTAATTATCTAGGTAAGAGTTTTCCTTAGGTTAGGATTAAGTCACAGACAAGAACTATTACTGATTTCACAGTATTTTTCTAAATCCCCCAAGATCAGTCAAATTTGACTTTCTGTTCCAGAATTTAAAGCAAAATACTTCCGGGACACTAGTAGATGAAAAATTTCCTAGTCTGAGTTTCTTGATCCCTGTCCCACACCCTCAGTTGTAGATGGAAATTTCTTAGTTTGTGATCTTTTGAGGGCCAGAGCATTCTTCCCTGTAGAGTTTGAGGACCAGAGCCACTCCCAGTGATACTTAGCCCAGCTATGTAGGTCTGACAAGTTTAGTGCTCAGGTTCGGTAAAGCTACACTTTTCAGACCCACTGGTGCTGAGTGGGACTGGGAGGGGTGGTCATGAAGTGCTGGATAGAATTCCGGGCTTAACACATGCCAGTCCTTTGAGTTCTCTCTTTGACTTCTTGGCTTATGATATTGTAATGACCAACTCTAAATACATCTCTCTCTTGCCTTATGATGGAGTTTCATTCATAAGAAACTCATATAAATGGGAGATACTATTAGTTGAAAATGCACTTAAGAGCTACAGAACACTGTAGCTTAAAAATGGGGACTACTCTTGGGTGGGCATTTCTTTCCTTGACTATGGCTTCTTCTTTTTCTCTTTTGGTTTTGGGTTCACACCAGTGGTTCTCAAGACTTACTCCTGTCTCTGTGCTCAGGGATCACTCCTGGCAGTGCTCAGGGAACGATATGAGATGGTTAGGATAGAACTGGGTTTGGTTATGTGCAAGACAGTTCTTTCACTAAGACTGTTTAGTATACATGCTCATTAAATAAACTGCTGTTCTTATTCAAAGCAGTGTGTGGTTACAGGAATGACATGATTTAATATTGTACATCTGGAGGGTGAATCATTCCTAAAACCACCCTCCAGATGGACAATCAAATAATCCAGAATGTAAAAACACCTCTTAAAAAATTACACAAAAGTAATATTCTCTAAGAGAAAATTGAATAAAGGGCATAAAGAGATAATTATTCTAAAAAAGAACCTGAATGGGCTAATATGTGTACAAAACAATATTCAAGCTCCCAGATAATTAATGAAAGATCAATTTAGGACACAGAGAAATGGTTATTCACCCAGAAATGTGATACTTTTAATTACATTATAATGTTCCAATGTAGCCAGGGATTAGCATCATAGCCATCATCAAGTTCTGAAGCCAGGGGTCAGAGAAAAATAGTCTTTGGGGAAAGCAATTTATCAGTATTTACCAAGAAATTTCAAGAGGCTTCCCTTCTTTAACCCAGTAATTTAATTTCTAGGGATCTGATACAATAAAATAATAGCAATGTTGCAAATATTTTAAATACGTTTGCTTGTTACTTTGTTAATTATCTATAAGTAATTTATTGGCAAGAAGTAAGATAACTCTAGTTAATAGCAAAAATAGTGAAACTGTGACATTTTTATATAATGAATTGCCATGTAGTCACAAAAACCATCATATTGAAGAGTAACTGCTGACCTTATTCACTGACTGTGGCCCTCATGGCATAGTCAGTCACCAGGTTAGTGACATGTGCCAGATTCTAGAGGCTCTTGAGCTGCCATCCAGGTTACTTTGGGAAAATGGGTATGAGGCATTATCACTTAAAGAAAATCAAAGCTTATGCCCAACTGTCAATCTTGACAAACTGTGGACCTTGGTCAGTGAGCAGACACAGGTTAACGCTGCCAAAAACAAGACTGGAGCAGCTCCTATCATTGATGTGGTGCGATCGGGCTGCTACAAAGTTCTCCGGAAGGGAAAGCTCCCGGAGCAGCCTGTCATCGTGAAAACCATATTCTTCAGCAGAAGAGCGGAGGAGAAGATTAAGTAAGCGAGAGGGGCCTGTGTCCTGGCAGCTTGAAGTTACCTAAAAGAAGGATCATTAAATGCTACACTGCTTTTCTTTTTTTAAAAAAAAGAACAGAAAATATATTATGACTCCATTACACTTAAACATACTTATTAACAGGATACAAAGGACTTTATATAAAAATATTAGTAAAATTTAATTCTACTACTGCTCGAGCGGGCCCAGTAACGTCTCCATTGGAGACTTTGTTGTTACTGTGTCTGGCATATCGAATACTCTCGGTAGCTTGCCGGGCTCTCCGAGAGGGGCGGAGGAATCCAACTCGGGTCGGCCATGTTGGCCGCTTGTAAGGCGAACGCCCTACCTCTGTGCTATTTTGACATATTTATTTTACATATTTTATTTCATTCATTTTACATATTTCTATACTGACCGGATGGAGGATAACATGAAACAAATTTTAAAAAAGAATATATTACTGCCTTTTAGGACATATGAATATTTTTATTAGAATGATAACAAGCAGCCTAATATCCCACTTTTCTGAATAACATTCTTCTCAAATCCATTATAATACTGTGCTTAAGTCCAAAGTAAGCATTAGTTATACAGATATTACATACTTTATTCTTTAACGTGCTGGCTCTAGCTAGCCAGGAAATTGCTCTGACTGAAAGTGGAATAAAATCAACCCCAAAGCATTAACATCTTATCTTTGTGCTGTCAGAATATGCCCATAATCTTCCAACTGCAATCTGGCAACCTCATGGATGATTAGTTCTATTTATCAAAAGCATCTTATTCCAGATTAAAAATATGTGGCATAGTGACCACCACTACCTCCTCCCACAACCATGGCAGACATCATTAATCACACTTTGTCCTGTGAACCCAGATGTGGCCTCAAAAATCCTTTCCAACACAGCTGTGCTCTAGGCAGCCCCTATCAATCATTTATTTCAACTCAAGTTCAAACCTATTAGCCATATCTGCTCTGATTATTCTGGCTAGAACATTATTATTCCTTTGACTGGTTCCCAGGACTATGGAGTTGAAAAGCATGACCACTTTCTTTCCTTAATGATCTTCCCTCCCCTTAAATGTTTAGAACCTACAAAGGTGCCGCCGATATAAACCTAATTCTCTAAGCAGCATGTTTTTAAAAGCCCCTGCTCTAGCACTGAACTGCACAAATGAACCATCTCTTTTTGTAATTTCAAGAATAACAGCTGAAAATTTGAACCCTCTCCTCCCGTTACTAGTGAATACAAATTCCATATAAAATAACAGACTTAAGAATAGTCACGAATATTAACAGAATAAAAACACCAAAAATGTAGTGCACTGAAATCGAGAACCTTGATTTACATGAAGCCAGAACAAAAAAAAAAGGAATGGTTTTGTGTTCTATAGTTATCAAAGTTCTGCAAAATGTTTGCCTGAGAAAAGAAAAGCAATGTCAAACTCCCTGTTCCTGTTTGGAAACAGAAAACTTCATCCTATGAAGTAAGCAGGATCCAATCTTAAAGAAACTGGACCTGCATTATACAACAGGTTAGTTACATATTTCTAACTCCCAGGCTTGAATATCAAGAAACAAACCCCTCCACACCTCCACAACACACACACACACACACACACACACACACACACACACACACACACACACACACCCTGGGGGGATGGGGAAGGTAGTAGAAGTTGAATGTTATCTGTTATTACCAATCCAGAAATTTTGAATAAATCTAGTGATATGGAAACCATAGCCAAAAATGTTAAAGTAATATAACTAAGGGTATGGAAATGACATAATAACTCCAATATCATAAAATACTGAAAATGGCAGTGACTAATATCAAAGAAATAAAGTAAGAAAAAAAACCCAGAGCAGGTCAATGATGTGTGTTTTCAGTTTAAAAGGAAACAAAGGATGCTTGGCAGATTATAATCAAACTTGATAAAATTTCACAACACCAAGTATAATGAGGAGAAGAAGAGGAGAGAGGGAAAGAAAAGGAGAGGGAGAGAAAAGGAATCTAGACACAGAACTCACATCCCTGGAAAAAATCCATAGAATCATAACCTAAATGTAAAATGCAAAACAAATGGAATGAATGCTCTCTTAGCTTATAGGAGAAAACCTGGATGGCCATGGATAATATAGTTATTGTTTGTTTTAATATACCAAAGACACTGTATATGGAAGAAGGAAATGTTAAGTAATACTTTAAAAATTTAAATAAAATATGTACTTAGCATGATAACCTCCAGCTTGGTGCTGAGTGAGGAAAACCTAAGGAAGAAGGACAACTATCCAATAATCTCTCTTCTCTGTGGAGTACAAAGAAACATAGTAAGGGAATAAACAATGGCCAATGATAACAAGCCCCAAATATTTGCTTTTAGAACTAAGTTCATTAAGTTGTGGGGTTGGGGTGGGGTAAGAGGGCACTAAGACTCAGTGGCAGAGGGAGACTGATGGTTGGGTAGGTGTAGTGTAGCAACATTGTATTCCTGAAACATTAATGATAGCACTATTATAAGTCACGGTCACGGTCCTCCCGTTGTTCATCGATTTGCTCGAGCAGGCCCAGTAATGTAATGAGACTTGTAGTTACTGTGTTTGGCATATCGAATACGTCGCGGGTAGCTTGCCAGGCTCTGCCGTGTGGGCAGATACTCTCGGTAGCTTGCCGGGCTCTCCGAGAGGGGCGGAGGAATCGAACTCGGGTTGGCCATGTTGGCCGCTTGTAAGGTAAATGCCTTACTGCTGTGCTATCGCTCCAGCCTGCTATTATAAGTAATGGTGTGTAAATAGAATTAGTTAATTAAAAGACTTTCTGCTACACAGAACTACGCAGAATGCTATCTCTCATGTGGGATATGAAGAAACATAATGGTGGAATAATGATTACCAAAGACAATGGAAACAACATGAGAACTGGTATTCAGTAGGAAACATGCCACCCAAGGAGGGTGGAGGGTAAGATGAGGGTGGAGGAGATGGTGGCAGGGAAAACTTATGCCTGTGGTGGAGGGAAGCATTCGAACCTGGAGGAAGAGGCGGTGTAGAAAGGTTGAGTAAATTGTTATGTATAAAATCCTATATGAAACAGTATTGAAAATCACAATGCAATATATATATGAATATATAATACATATATATGTATATAAAACTTCCTATTCTAGCATCAGGGCAATAGTACAATGGGTAATTTGCACATGGCTGACCCAGGTTTGACACCCCTCACCCAAGCCTGCTAGGAGTGATTCCTGAATGCAGAGCTAGGAATAAGCCCTCAGCACCTCCAGGTGTTGCAAACAACAACATATTCCTGCTCTTCAATAGATAACATCAGTAGATGAGAAGACAAACCATGGATAGGGAGGAAATACTTAGAAAAGATATTTTTGATAAAGGACTGTTGCCCCCAAAATCTAAAGAACAGTATAAAATTAGTAATAAAAAACAATTTCACTTAAAACTGGACCACAGACCTGAACAGACATCCCACCAAAGAAGGCATATATATGGAAAATTAGCACACAGAAAGATGTTCCACATCATATGTTATCAGGAAATGTAAATTAAAATAACTGTGAGGCTCCACTACAAGCCTATTAGAAGGGCTACACAACACTGACAACACCAAATTCTGGTGAAGATATGGAGCAAGACAATTCTAAATTGCAGGTGGTAAAGCAAATAAAAGACTTTGGAAATGCAAACTATCTTTGGAAGACATTGATGGTTTCTTACTAAACTAAACATACACTTGCCATGTGATCCAGTAAATTGTACTCTATACACCCACCTGAAAGAATGGAAAACTTATGCCTACACAAAGAGCTATACACGATAGCAGCTAACAGCGGCTTTATTCATAACTGAAAGAACAAAGTTGTCTTTTAGTGTCCAAGTGAATGGATAAATAAACTATGGTGATTCAGACCACAGAACGTTATCCAATGTTAATTTTATTTTTGATTTTTAGGTGACACTTAGCAGTTTTCAGGGCTTACTTATAGCTCAGGAACTACTCATGGCTGGGCTCCGGGGAACATGTGGAGTGTTGGGGATCAAACTTGGATTGGCCATATGCAAGGCAAGCGTTCTACCTGCTGAATTACCTCTGCTGTCACAGAATATAATCCAATGTTTAAAAGAAATTAGCTCTGAATTCATGAAAACACATGGAAGAAACTTAAGTGCATGTTACTAAGCGAAAGGAATCAGTTCAAAAGGACTGTGCAGTGTATAGTCTATAAGACATTCTGAAGAAGAAAAACTATGAAAACTGATAAGAGAACCAGAGAGATGAGTAGATAGAACACGGAGGACATATCGGGTAGTGAAGACACACTGCCTGATACTATCATGATGGGCATATGTCATTGTACATTTTACCAAACTCACATATATACAATACCCTAATGCAAACTATAAACTTTGGATGATTATGGTGTATCAACACAGGCTCATCAATTGCAACAAATGTACCATTCTGACAAGTTGTCATTGATAAGGGCAGAGGCATATGTCAGAGCAGAAAATATACATGAAATACCTGTGCCTTTCTGCAAATTTCTCAGTGAACATAAAATTACTGCAAATAAAATTGTAAATGATACCAGAAGGATTAGTAAAAAAGGGTGAAAAGGTAAAGAAAGGAAGAGAGAGAAGTAGAAGAGGAAGAGACAGAGGGAGTAAAGATCAAAGAC